GGCGGCCCCGGGGAAGGTGCGTTGCTCTGCGAGAAGGCTCCGGGCGGCTTCAGCGGCCTCTGCAGAAGTGCCCGCTCCTCCCTGCTGAAGTGCGGGGTGTGTGACAGAAATCGATCTAACGGGGGTGGCTCTTGTCCGCTTAAATCGTGTCAGACTGCCGAATAAATCGGAGCAACCTTCTTCCCTCCCTCTTGTTCCCAGTACAGGACCTTAGCCGTGGTTTGTGGCACTTTCTAGGGCTTTGGGGTGGGGCCCTTGTTAAATCGTGTATGAACAGATTTCTGTGTTTTGGCTAATATAATCTTGTATTTGCAGAAGTCTTAGGGGGTTTATATGAAGAAGCATCTTGCAGGAGGCACCTATTTTTATGTATAAAGATATGAATTGTGTATGCTGCAGTGCTTAAGGGAATGTACACCCAAGCCAATTATAGCCCACTGGGAACTCTTGCAGCTTATACTTCATTGACAGGTACATGCCATGAAGTTTTATACTGGTGCAAGGCAGTATAGATTGTGAACTCTCTGTTTCATACTATCGTTCTCCTCGTAGGGAAGCTTACCTGGCTTTCACTCAGGCAATATTAAAAGTAACAGTGGGACTGTTGTCCAGAACTTTCGAAGACAGAAAATGGCCATCTTTAAACAAATATTTTTGCTTCTTATTTGCAGGCTTTGATGTGGCAAAGACAGGTGATGCCCGAATTGGGTTTGTGGGTTTTCCATCAGTGGGGAAATCTACTCTACTAAGTAATCTTGCTGGTGTGTACTCTGAAGTGGCAGCATATGAATTCACTACACTAACTACTGTGCCTGGAGTCATTAGATACAAAGGAGCAAAGATACAGGTGAGATCTTTTTGTGTCTCTGGGGATAAGATTGTCTATATAGATGCTGTGGTGTTCCAGCTGAATCGTCTAGCTTGACATTAGCAGGTTAGAAGTGACATGTAAAAGTGCTTGAGAATACATTGGAAGCATTTCCATGAGGTACTAATTTTACCCTGCTTTGCTTTTTTTCTCTGGGAAGTTCCTGTGGTAGTTCTCATATTCTCTATGAGATGATCTGTACCATTGTACCAATAGAACACGTGGGATAATATCATATATAAGAATCAAAGGGGAAATGATTTTGCAATATTCTATTCAGATCTGCAGTAGAGTCAGCTGGTTTAGGAGAAAGGTAAAAGTAAGATTTATTTTCTCCATGAAGAAAAGTATTTTTCTCACAAGTTACTTTCCTTGTTCTGAACAAATAGCTACTTGATCTCCCAGGAATTATTGAAGGTGCCAAGGATGGTAAAGGCAGAGGACGGCAAGTCATCGCAGGTGAGTACATTAGAGCTGGAGGCATCCTAAAAGCTGAATTGTATGCTGGAATTGAGCTGCCTGCTGTGAAGCAGTAGCCATTTTCATTTCATTCTGGCTTCAGTTGCGGCTTTATGCATCTGCTGAGTTCGTGCTCTGCGTTGACACTGCAGTGAAGGTATATTACCAATTTTGAAGGCAGATGTAATCCATATTAAACATCAGTGATGCTTGGCCAGCGCTACAGACTTCTTTCACTGGAATTTAAAAATAAGCAATGTCCTGGCCTTCAGGGGTTTAATATTGTCATCAGCCACTGACCCGTATTTTGTGTTGTTTTGTCTCAGATTGTGTGTGAGTATACTTTTTTGAGGGATGATTTTCTTTTTCTGATTCTTAGTTGCTCGAACCTGTAATCTCATTCTGATTGTTCTGGATGTGCTGAAACCCCTTGGTCACAAGAAAATCATTGAGAATGAACTGGAGGGATTTGGAATTCGTCTGAATAGTAAGCCCCCCAATATTGGCTTTAAAAAAAAGGATAAAGGAGGCATTAACCTTACAGCCACAGTAAGTTGCAAGTTTTCTTTAACCAAAATTTAAAAAAAAAAATGCTTCAAGAAAGAGGCATTTGCAATTAGCGGTATGCCTAGGACCATTCCTGTGCTATGACTTCTTTAGAAGCTGAACTGCAGTACTGTGCTGTAGTCAGTTACTTTTCTTGGAGGCCATCCATACCTGCCCGAGGAGCCTGGCTACCTCCTTACCCCCAAATCGGAGGCTTGGTCGCTTTCCAACAATTACAAGTTCCAAGGCCCAAATGAGAGTGTGCAAAAAACCTGCCCCTCGTTTGGTGACTAAAGCATTCTTCTGGAGAAGAGAGCTCAGAGTTCCAGGCCTTGCAACCTGGACTACTCCTCATTTTTCACTTACCACTGAATCTTTAAAAAAGTAAAAATAGCCAGAGATACCAAAAATCAGAACTCTGCTCTGGAATCTAGGTACCTAACATGCAGTTGTCTGGGCACTAACCTAGTAGATAGGCAAGTTTGTATTGCAACTGGTCCCAGATTGACAGCAAACATTACTTTTGAAATGTCTGATTGCAGCTGTCAGTGGCATTAATATAAATAAAGCTGTCATGATTTAAATCTCTTTTTTTCCCCTCTGCTGAGGCTAACTATGGTAAAATCTCAGTCAAGTCCAACAACTTAACAATGCGGCTATTATTTTTCGTAACCTATATGCAGTGATTTCTAGGTGATAGCGTAATTAATTGTAATGCTTGATTTGGCTGTAAACTCTTCCATTCCTTAATACTGTGTCTACATGCAGTGTCCTCAGAGTGAGCTGGATACTGAAACAGTGAAGAGCATCTTAGCAGAGTATAAAATTCACAATGCTGATGTCACACTGCGCAGCGATGCCACTGCTGATGACCTAATTGATGTTGTCGAAGGGAACAGGTACTGTTGGGACCCTGGCTTTGGCATTCTTGCAATTTATATTACAAAGAAAAGAATCATCTCTGAGGTTTGCTTCCTACAGAAGCTAAGCTAGCAATGTGGTATCAACATGTGCTGTTCAGTACCTTGCTGTCCTTTTAAAAAATCAAATTTTTTGAAGGTAGCAGTGTATTGCTGCTAGGCTGCTGTAATGGTATTCCTTTCTCTTTGCAGGGTTTACATCCCGTGCATTTACGTCCTAAATAAAATTGACCAGATTTCCATCGAGGAACTAGATATCATTTACAAAGTACCCCACTGTGTACCAATATCTGCTCATCATCGCTGGAACTTTGATGATCTGCTGGAGAAAATTTGGGACTACCTGAAGCTAGTACGAATGTAAGTCCCAATTGCTGCCTTCTGTGGAGTTCAGTATAAGGCTGAGACTGAAAAATGTCTCAAGAATTGATAAATGATGATTTTTTTACAGTGTTTTTCTGCTGGCATAGAACTCTGGCTTTCCAATGATGATGTCTTTTGTCACTGAAGTATGTTTAATCTGTAAATCAGGAGATTGTGCTCCTCGTCTGTTGTATGGTGGAGCATTTCTTAACATTCACAAGTGCTGTGAACTTCTTGTAGGGGAATTAAATGAGGACCTTGTGAAATCAAGTCCAAAATAAGTTTTAAAAAATTCCTGAAAACAAAATTTAAACAAATTTAGTGCAAAGTTATGAATTTCAGAAGTACCTCTTTTCAGTCTCTCATGAGTGACATGCATTCAGCTCTCTTAACTGATATTAGTTCTTCATCTAGCCTTTCAGATATTTTTACTATAAATTATTACAGGTTTACCTCATACTACTAATGCGTTTCTTCAGATGAATTTATGGATGAATCTATTAATACTCGTAATGCAGTGATTGTAGTTGTTTAAATGTATATCTCTCTCCTTGTGACAATACATAATCTATTGTAAAAAGGGATTTAGTATGTCTAAGTATCTGGGCTATAGACTCTCAGATTTTTTCCTAATACACATTAAGTTTTCCACAGAAAAATAACCAGAACCATAATACAGTAGATGTTCTTTTCCATCTATTCTTGTGTCATCTTTTAAGCAACTACAGAAAACTCACTAGGGATAAACCTTTGCAGTTACAAGGGAGAAGCTGCTGCAGCCATTGGGTACCCAGATACATTTTAAGCTTTGGAATACCAAACGATTTACATATTATCTATTGCCACCACTGAAATAGCGGAACTCGGCACAAGCACGTAGGATGACAGTGCAAATAACCTATGAAATTTCAGGATGAGTTGAAAGAGAAGAGGAGATTTTGTTATTGACTGATTGTTCTGTGTTACAGCTACACCAAACCTAAAGGGCAGCTCCCAGACTACACCTCTCCTGTGGTACTACCTTACTGCAAGACCACAGTGGAGGATTTTTGCATGAAGATCCACAAAAATCTCATTAAAGATTTTAAATAGTAAGTATTATTGTAAAAGAATAATTTACAGAGAATGGAAAATAATCTGCCTCCTGGTATATTCTTTCATTCTCTTGTAAACTAGAAGGGAAAACAGGGTTTGATTATTTTTCTTTAAATGTTGAATGGCATAGATCTCCCTGTGACAATTAAACCTAATACTTAAATTACTATATTTGATGTTCCTATGATATTTCCTGGATAAATGTTTTTCTTTACATTTGAAAGTAGCATTAGATGCAGTATTACACACCATCATCCTGTATGCACAAGTATTTTGGATGACTTCCATACTTTGTTTTGAGTTGCTTGTACTCTGGTTCACACAGACCACTCATCCAGGTACTTGCAGGAGAACAAAAATAGCTCTTAAGCATTGCTTTCTGTATTAGCTTTGTGACAGAAATAGCTGTTGTTCTGCTGTTTGCATATTATACTGCTAATCCTTTTAAATTTGATTTTTCTTCTCCTTTCAGTGCACTGGTCTGGGGTTCATCTGTTAAACACAACCCTCAAAAAGTTGGTAAAGACCATACTCTTGAAGATGAGGATGTTATTCAGATTGTGAAGAAATAAAGTTGTTCTGACATGGTTTGCCACTGTGCATGCAATGTGTCATTAGGTGTAAGCAGCCATTTCTATTAAGTGGGTGTTAGTTCTTTATGGTAGTACCTTACTGCATGATAAATGTGATGTTTCTGGCCAACTTCTACTGCCATGTCCCATTCTGGCAGAACTTAAAACTGAGAAACTCCTGTTAAGTGACTTTCACAGGGGCAAAAATCTTACAAGGAACCTTTGATGCTTAGGATGACTCTCTGGTGCATGTGCACCTTTTTCTAAATTGGAAAAAGGTTCACATGAGGAATTATTTTGTTCTAAATTAGAACAAAACATGAAAGCAGAGGCTGGAGAACTATATCTTATGAAACTGTACTAGAGGATGTAGAGTTCTAGCTCTGGCTGCCTTGATCTGAAATGTTCTTGTTTGAATACTTCGAGGCTATTAATAGTCCTGCAGTTGTGGAAAAGAGGGTAGGTTCTGCTCACGAGCAGTCACTTTTGCAGTTGTTTATAGGAGTGGAAGTAAACTAGATGCTTTAAGTTTTCTTAAAATAATTTCCTGCTTAGAGAAGCCAAGTTGCAGGCTGCTCTAAAAGGAGTGGTTCTGGTGCTTTTTAATAAAGCTGGAGCTCTAACATAAGCAAAAAGCTTATCAAATGCCTCTAGCATTTCCTCTCCTACAAAAAGGAAGTAGGGGTGTTTACTTAAATGTGTCAAAAATGCTCCCTCACATTATGACACATAGAAATACAGTGATTTCAGACACCCATTAAACACTAAATCCTTGTGACAGTAGTTCCAACTCAGCCTGGTAAGAAGGCAATTTCCCTATAATTATTCTAAGCTTAAAAGTAGATTCCTGCATAAAAGAGCTGAACTATACAGCTGTGCTGGGGTTGTCAGCCTTGAGTTGAAGGGGGCAGAGTAGAAGTTACAAACAGTGAACCTCACTTACCCTTTCTTTAGGGCTAATTAGTTTTAAGAGTTCTTCTAGTACACTGGAATCTCATTCCTTACACTTAACTGGCTGTATAAAAAACATTTAAGTGCAGCAACTCCATTGTGTGGCTTCACTGAGGCCAGTTACCTTCAAAGACGACTGTTTTCCCTCACATGGAAGATACAAAGTTGGTATTTTCTGCAGATTCAGTTCAAACCATAGTTTAGCTTACACAAGAACAATGCCAAAAAATTATCAATATTCTGACAGTATAGTTTAGTTCAAGAGCAGTTGATACAGACAGCTGGTAGAATCAACTTTATTTACAGAATGTTACTGGTAAAGTGTCAAGTTAAAAAAGTATGAAAACAGTCTTACAAGGACAAGCTGGTGATTGCATGTTTTACACAGATTGTTGTAGGAACAACTACTAGAAGACCCTCAACAGATTCCACATTGGACACTTCAGCTTGCTATTTCTGTACAACACTGTCTCTGCTGGACTGCAACAAACCCACCACAGCATGCTGGCAATTACTATAATACAGTCAAGTGATTTTTTTTGTTGTTTTTCTGCTGCTGGTTTTGCATTCAGTGAGACCTAAGAAAGAGCAAGTCCGTGAGAATTCTGGGTTTGCTTTCACCTTTTTTAAAAAGAGCACAATGGCCTAAGCTAGACAGAGGACATGACAGCAGTACTAGACTCAACACAAGTGAGAAAGTGAAGTGAGGAACCATGCAGTAGAAGGATGGAAGAGAACACTAACTGTTCAGGAAAGTGAAACAGGCTTAAAAGGAACATAGTATTTTAAAACCAAATATACACAGTAAGATCACAAAACTACCCCATCCTCCCCCTTTCAAGCCACAGAACAAGACTCCAAAGGCAAGTTTCACAGTAATTGCATCAGCAGATGCACACTAGATTGAGGACAGTTCTTGGAACTCCCTTCTATACATAGAACTGAAGGCAGTATAGAACATACCACAGCTATGACTGAGGAGTTGAAGGGCGAGGATTCAAAGGCTCCATTTTGATGACCTTTAGTAACTGGTTTGAAAGATTAAAACAAGGAAAATACTGCAGCTAAACAAGGACCAGCACCAGCCCTCTTGGAAGAGCTGTGACCAGTAGGTACCTACATAGTCTATTTGCTTATGGCAGACTGAATATCTGGCTTTATCATTACTGTACCAGGTCCCATCCTCAAGGCTGTTCAAAGACTAAACAACTCTCTCATCTGATGGCAAGAGTCTTACACACAAGGAATCAGACCTTTGTTATACAGACAGCAAGATGTGGGCTTTTTACTTTGACACTTTAGCTACGCTGAGCGCACAGTACGTGACAAGAATGTGAGAGGGAGACCTAGAAGAGATGAGCAGCAAGAAAAGGCAAAGCAACTTTATCCTGTTCACTCACACTTAGGATATGCAACTTTAATCTTAAAGAAAGTCCCACACATACAATGGAGAAAGATCCAAACCATAGGCACAACTAAAGCTCAACTGTTATCAGCTACTCTTATGTACAGCTGTATAGATTCAAAAAGGGTATTCTATGTGTATATATACAAAAGATTGTTTATACACAAGTCTGTACACAAGGGTCTATACATTTAGTTTTCTGCAGGAGGAATCCATAGCTGCTACCTCTACACTAGAGAATATCAGCACTTCATTCACATATCTTACAAAAACAAAAAATAGACACTTCCAGGATTAAACTGGCTTTGTCTTGCATCTAAATGTCTTCAGGCTTCACTATTCAAGCCATAATGGATCCTTTAGTCTTGATGCAGACATGAGACCAGGACAGGTGCCATGTGCTTTAGTCTCTCAAAAAAGAAATTTTGCACAGAGTGCTAAAAATAAAAGCCCCAAAAAACAAAGAGGTGAAGTCCTGACTATGGACATTTTTATCCAGTCTAAAGAATCACAAGTGTCCCACCCAGTGGTCACTGTTCACTGCCGGTATTCCAGTTCATCTACACTGATGACTTTAGATGGCATGGAAGGGAGAGGCTGCTGCAAGACATCTGAACCAAACCATTTTGCGAGGCCAATGGGAGAGCCACTTCTCTGGCTGGGGCGATGGTCAAGCTGTGTGTGCCCATGAGATAATCCAGTCCGAGACAGCACATTCTGAGGGGTTGTTTGTGCACCAGCGGGTGATCCCTGCGCTCCCGTGCCTGTGAAATGTAAAGCTATTAGAGGTGGAGGAATATGTTCACCCGACACCAAGATCTGCCCTAAAGCAATCACCTGGTCAGGCATGTGAGCTGAATGTGGCTTTTATTCTATCAGCCCTGGGAAATCCAGACCCTGCATGTTTATTCTCTTGTTAGTGCTCCCATAAACTGCCTGACACTGCCAGTTCTGGACACAGTATCACATGGTTTTAACTGGAAGACCAGCATGAAATAGAGTTTTATTGAGATAGGTGGGTGGCCTCTCACCCAGCAAGGAAGGAGAGACTCCACACATGCTGTAAAAGGCAGATAGCGGCATATATCTTGAAACTGAATGCTTCACTTGGACTTCTGGCATAAGATCCTGCAGTGGCCAAAAGTGCTCTAAACACCCACACAGAAGATTAGTGATTATGAATACCTAAATTGCCAAAGCAGCTTCCCGTTAGCCCAGTATACTGAACAGGCCAACAAGTACAGTACCTGGAGCAGGCTAGTCTGTGTTCTAAAGCTCACAGTCCCGTTTTATGTTTTAGCCTACCTGATCGTTGTAGTTGCTGTTGCATCATCGCTAGCTGCAAAGGTGTCCCAGAGCGTGGATTTAAGATGTGATGGCTGGCTGTTGGTAGCGGGTAAAAAGGTTGGCCAAGGATGGGAGCAGATATTCCCTGCAAGTGAGACAGATCCACTCCAGGAGGAAGCATACCTGTTGAACAAGAATGAGGCAACTTCTTACCTAATAAACATCAGGAACTTAAAGCAAAACAAACACATTTAGATGTGTTGGAATTTATTGCCTGGTTTTAAAGGTAAGTTTTGATGTAATAAACATTACCAGTAATGAGTATCGGTTTGTGGTGTTCCTAACACAAAGTCCGTCTTACAGAGAACGTGCATTAATTTAAGGGAAAGAAGTATAAATTACCTGCTTGCAGCAGAGGAAGATGTTGCGGATGAACCCCCTGTGCCAGCATTCTCTGGACCAATCCTGGATGCAGTTGATGAGCAGGTCGTACAATTGGTACATGGGGAACAAGGGGTACTTGATGAACAGGACGAAGAAAAGGGCCTCCTGGTACTGGGGAGGCCATTGTAGGAGTCTTTCTACCAGTTGATTTAGGCCTGTAGTCTTGCTCTTTGGTGCAACGATTTGCTTGGGTAAGAGGTGTGGAACATGCAGAGCGTTGCAGTGCAGGTAGTTTGGTACCTAAGGTGGGCAAAGTTTCTTGATCTGCATTCTCCACAGAACTAGACAGTAGGTTATCTGTAGCTAGAATTGAATACAACTATTATCGTCCACAGCTAGAGATTACACTAATGAAAATTAAAGCTAATAACTGGATTTGATAGCCAGATTCCAGCACTAGCTAAACTTCAGTCATATATATGTAACAGAGTAAGCATCTTTCCTGGATGCTTTTGGCCAAATTATTTCAAAACAGTGATGAGAAGGAATATGTTCCACAGAAATCCCTTGACAGCAAGCTTATATCAGAATCAACAGTAACTCTGCCTTTAATTCTTGTTTTTCCTGTTAAGACATTTTGAACTGGCAGCATGGATGAGTCAGTCCCAAAGGAGACAGGAGGTACAAGGGAGCCTTGCTAGACAAGATAATTTGGAGTTGTGCCAGAAATCTAGCCCAAAGTAGTTTTCCAGTTTAGATGTGTCTGGGGGTTTGCAGCAGCCCTGACATCAGCTTCGCAAGATTTGGAACAGCAAAGCAACTGAAGAAGCTACTACCACAGACCATCTAGATCAGTTAGACAAGGCCTAAAATATCTTAAGAGTCATCTGCTACCAGTTGAGGTAGCAGTAATAGTTGGAGTGCTAAAAGCCACCTCTGTAATTACCGGTATCAAAGTATTGTGTCATGGCCATTATGCATGTTTGTCT